ATCCCAGCACCGAGACTGGAGATAGCCAGTCTCCTACCCCAGCGGCAGGTTGTATTACCACGAGCGGAGAAGGTCAGTTTCCCATCCCAGCGGCTGTTGGAGCTACCGGGAGTAGAGACAATCAGTCTTCATCCCAGTGGAATGGTGTGTCCTGTGTAGATTTTTAGGGATCCCAGTAACAGAGTCTTCGGACTTGTTGGCTGGCTACACGATCCCTCTAGCCCTGGGATAAATCAAGAGAGTGAGGCCTGAGAGCCACAAGTGCCTTGGTATGGCAATCACTGTAAGCAGAGCTGAAGAGGAATAGACAGAGGAGAAAATACCTGCCTGGAAAAAGAGTCTTGTCAGGTAGAAAAGTTCCAGAGAGACCCCAGTCAAGCTTCGGCGACTGAGGCTGATGCGTTCCAGGCTCCCTCCCCAATGGCTAGGAAGCGAATTCGTCGGAGGTACTCGGTCTGAGTACAGGAGCTCCGTCAAAGTCTAATCTTTACTAAAATTAGGCAGCATTTGTTTACCTTCTTGTAAACACTTAGGGTCATTCAAAGCCCATAAAAATCTAAAATGGTATTCACGTAATTTCAGTATAAAATACCTAGGGTCACTTTAAATTTATTTCTTTTTTAAATATTTTACCAGGATGAATACATTGAGATTTCTCTAATTTTCAAGCATGTCCTGGGTCCACAAAACATTGCAGTGCTACAATAGGATACAATATTACAAAAATACAATATACAAACTATATCTATACAATATATATATATATATATATATATATATATATATATATATATACATTTAATACATAACCGGTAATAAATTATATATTTATAAAATATTCAACCATGACCGGTGCATTCTGTGCTAAGGTATATTGCTATAGATCTCTTAAAAGATTTTAGATTGAATGAAGATTTGACTATCTCCCTGAGGTTATTCCATAATTGCGGCACTCTGTAGGAAAATGAGGATTGAGCCACTTTATTTTTGTATTGCGGTATGCTAAATATCGTGCAAGTACTGGATCGGAGGGGATTGGAGGAGGGACCAGCTGGGGAGAGCATTCTACTCCCAGAAATGCTCTTATGCACAAGGCTGGAAAGATGAAGAGTGCGTCGGGATTCCAGCGACAGCCAGTTTAGCTCCTTTAGCATGTCACAGTGGTGGGTAAAATAATTACATTGTAGTACAAAGCGGCAGAATGAATTATATAACGTATTAAGTTTTTAAGGTGGGTTTGCGGTGCGGGTGCATACACCACATCTCCAAATTAACACCATTACCTTTAAATTTAAGGCAGTAGTCTCTTATCTCAGTATAAAACACACATGCCCATGTTTTAAATCAAAGATAAGGACAGAAAAAAATATATTTGGATACATGTACAACTTGAAACAATAGCTAAAAGCAAGTCAAGAAAAATCGTCAGCTGCCATTTAGAAATGAAAAGGGGCCTGAGGCCATGAACACAAACCAAAAATAACATCATATAATGAAGACAAAAGAACCACTTTAGCTGTACACAATAGTGTATACATTCCTTATGCAGAAACACATATGTTTGGTATAAAAGTCCCCAGACAGGAAAAGGGGACACAAAAGGCTTTTGACTAAACAATGAATTGACAATCAGATGTAAACAGAAAATGGACATGATGGAAAATAGCCGAATTTTAATTTGTTTCTCTAATTTATTCTCGTTTAAATCTGATGTTTGCTTTCCCAATCATTAACAAGTCAATAGTCCAGAGCATTCAATATTTAATAAAATCATATTCTTGTAAAGTTTATTGAACCTGCTACTCATCCTCTAATTAAGTGACATGATATCGTAGCGTAAACTGAATAAGGGCGGCATTGCTGAAAGGTGTACCGTGTGCTCTGTCTAATGTTTTTTTTTTTATAGCCTGTATTTAGACAACTCTATCCTGATTCCGTGATTCTTTTTATTAAAGAAATAAAGAAGAAGCTAAGCGTTTTAACCTTTTTTTCTTGATGGATATTGTGATTCAGTTGATCCCAGTGCAGATGGTATCGTCGTTGTTTACTGTTTTTATAGTTTCAGCCATGTCAGGTTCTGAGTAAGTCAGATTCCCCCGGGGTTCCCATAAGCATTTATATTACTGCACAATGTTAAAATTAGTTGAACTCCTTGGGAGCTAGGATTCATGGTGACCTTGCCAAAATGGAATCATTGGAATGTCACGTACCTAATGGCTCAATAAACTGATTAGGCTTGTGCATTGTGCATAGCTTTGAGACAATACAAAATTAACACATTTATCATTTTCCGTTGCATGAATCCAAATAAAGAAAAAAGTGATATGAAAAAAGCAGTGACAATTCCTTGTTCCTTAATCCCTGTAAACACTGAAATAGCAAGGAATTAGGACCTGTGAATAACGCAGCGGAGGTACGTAAAAAAAAAAACTTGGTAACTTCTACACTTCCAAGGTTTCACAGATGCGCCTGCTAGCTTGGGCATCTAATGAAAAAATTAACAGGAGCCGTCAGGGCCGCCATCAGGGGGTGACAACCACTTTCCCTCTCTGCACACATAGATAGCGAATATCGCTATCTATGTGTGCAGCAATTTTCTATTAAATGTAATTAAATGTTTCTCTCCCCTCCCTGCTTCTTACCTGTGTCCAAGGAGGGGGGAGATTTATTCCCTGGTGGTCCGGTGGCATGGGGGGGGGGGCCTCTCTTCTCTCTTCTAATAACTCTCGCAAGACATGTGGCCTTCTGAGCGATGCCATGGCAATGCTCCGCGCGCACACAGGCCACGGGTCTCGCAAGAGTATTAGAAGAGAGAAGAGTAAAGGCAGTCTGCTGGGACCCCTCTGCGGTAACAGGGAGCCGGGGGCCCCCCATGCCACCGGACCACCAGGGAATGAATCTCCCCCCTCCCTGGACACAGGTAAGAAGCAGGGAGGGGAGAGAAACATTTAATTAAATTTAATAGAAAATTACTGTGAAAATGCCCCTTCCTTCCCCTCCCCCTCAGATTGCACATTTACACACACACACTGCATACATTAACACACACACTACATACACTAACACAACACACACACACTGCATACACTAACACAACACACACTGCATACACTTTTAAAATACACTCTGCATTCACTACACTAACACACTCGGCATTCACTACACTAACACACACTCTGCATTCACTACACACTAACACACTCTCTGCATTCGCAACACTGACACAAACTCTGCATTTGCTACACATTAACACACACTCTGCATTCACTACACATTTACACACAATCTGCATTCACTACACACTAACACACACTACATTCATTACACTGACACACTCTGCAATCACTACACACTAACACACACTCTGCATTCACTAAACTATGCACACACTCTGCGTTCACTATACACACTGCATCCGCTACACAAACACACACTCTGCATTCACTGCACAAACAGTATCTAATACACACAAACACTACATCCATTACACATATTCTAATTCACTTCCAATATACACACCGCATTCAGTCCTACATCATTGTGAGCGGACTAGGTAGGGCATGGGCAGGCCCAGGGGGAGAGAAGGAGGGGGAGTGAGGGGGAGGCCCAGGCCTTGTGCTTTGTCAGGGGCCCCAAAATTTCTGATGGCGGCCCTGGGAGCCGTGCATAAGGCACCCACCAATAGAATTAGTTTATTTACATACTTTGCCAGGTTTCATCCGGCAAAGCATGTAAAAGATAATATAAAGGATTTTAAAATAATTTTAGCATAACCTATAGCTAACTTTTACTTATTAGGTGTGCTTAAATTGAGGAGGTGACCCTTTCTTTTTTAGAGATGCGTTCTAAACCCTTGTCTCCCTTGTGTTTTTGAGCAGATTCATGCAAACTGAGGTTCACCCAGGTGCCCAATAAGCAATACAAATTTTGTTGCATCATCTGGCATACTCAGCTAATCAATTACATCCAACTATGGACGAAATTGATACTGCTAAAGTGTAAATCCCATATTAGCAACATGGTGAGATAGAAGTCGGGCTGCGGGCACCTGGGTTGCCTTTGTTTTGCGTGAAGCTGCTCAAAACCAGATTAATACAAAAGCAGGGACTCACATCAGGAGTGTGCAAAAGAAGTTTAGACTGCACCATAAGTTCATAATGCAGTTTGTTTTTCAACCAGTTCAGTCACATCCATTTTTTTTTTACATTTCTATTATTGCTATAAAAGAATAATATATTGTTGTGATTATTGTGCCTAGACTGCTCCCTTCTATTAAATAAACTTCTGAATATAAGTAAGTCCTTAATAAATTCAAACATTAATACTCTGTACCCATGGGTCTGATTTGAAAAAAAAAAATTTCTGGAAAAAATAAAGTACATAAAAAAATACTACAATTCCTTTCTAGTTCAACCACAAAAAAATGTAACATGGGGGCGGAGCCAAATGTCCGAACGGAATGGCCGCAATTTCTCACAGCTCCTGAACCAGGAGTAAAAGCCGACAGCTATCGGACCCCAAATGGCTCCATTGAAGGGTGAAAAATACTTACCTAGACGCCTGCAGGGGTGAGCAGCACACAGATGCCCTTCATATTCCCGCAAACCAGCAGGAAAACCCGACGGAGGTCTGGGGCCTACCCCAAGTTCCGCAGCATAAAGATAGCGCTGGGAATATGAGAACGGATGGAAGCATCTGGATACTCACCTTGGGCCCAGCACACGCAGTCCCAACTAGACCCGAGCACCATGGTTAGAAAATCCCAAAAACCACAATCAGGTGCGTGCAAAGACTCACAAGACATAAGCACCATGTTACAGCACCCTGTTGCTGCAAAAATGGCGGCCGAGTCGGAATTCACTGATGGCTCAGATGTCTCTGAGGGACCCACCGGGGAGCATCTGGAACCCCTATAAACCGGACCACGCCAAACAGAACCAGCAAGGGAAAACAACCTGACTCCAGCAACTAGACAGGACATAGCAGAGCTCCTACAGGAAATGAGGCAGCTACATGCAGCAGACCTTGAGCTGCTGAAGACAGAATTCACAGCAGTAACAGCCCACACTCAAGCCTCTGAGGAGGACATACTGGACTTAAGACAAGAGGTACAAGGCCTCAAGGAATCCATACTCCAACTGCAATCCTCCCAAGCTAACTTAACGAGCAGGGCTGACACGGCAGAAGACCGCCACAGGCAGGTAAACATAAAGATCAGGGGTATACCCGACTCCATCGGCATAACAGAGTTGCCCCACTATCTCAGGCGACTCACCACCTCACTCTTGCCACACATCCAGGCCAAGAAACTCACTTTTGAGGGATTCTTTTGCATCCCAAAACCGAGACAAGCTTCACCAACAGCATCTCACAATGTCAAAGTCAGATGCCACTCATCCACTGACAAGGCCCTCCTAATGACGGCAGTCCGGGGTAAAACTCCACTCACTTTTGAATCCAGTCAACTTACCTTCTACCAGGAAATAACACGCAACACATTGCTGTGGAGACGCTCACTGGGACCGGTAACCAGCCAGTTGCGCAATGCAGGCATAGAATATAGATGGACATTGCCACGAACTCTAACAGTAACCAAGGAGGGCAACACGAAGAGACTAACCACCCTAGCAGACGCAGACTCCTTCCTCCGGGCCCTGGGGCACCCCACGGCAGTGGCAAAGGCGACAACCCACTCTACCTCACACGCCTGGGACCCAGAGAGAGCCGTGACCTTCACACTCAGAGGGGGCACACAACCAGAAGCTCCGACCTGAAAGGACTACACCAATTCGCAGCATTCCCTAATAAACTGTCAAGTTTAGATACTAAGTTCTTATAACCGTGCTCACATTTGTTTCCCCACCAATCAGAAGCTCTGTTTAAGTTTATTTTCTATGTTACCTTTCTCTTTTAAACACCTGCCGTACAGGCGACAAACACGAGACGACCACCCACCGACAATCCCCCCAACTGACACCTACTACTAGGACCCCAACCGGCACATCCAATAAGCATCAAGCGGGCCCCTGCACTAAACAGGAGTCACCACGTATAACATCCACGACAACTACTACAGAAATAAGCGACATCACCTCCCCCCCTGTGTCTCCACTAGGTTAGGGGACTTCCACCACCCATGACACATCACACACCGCCCACACTGGGCTCTTGTTGCCCATAATACGGCAGCTTCTAACATAGATCCTACTGACCTACCAAGCAGCCACACGACAGCGCTACCACACCACACCGACGAGGTAACACATATTCACGCAGCGCACCTCCACATAGACTACCCTAATCTGGAACCCCGTTGAAGACAAGACTTAACCCCTTGCACGCAGCACATTCAACATCGCACCACTCGCACCAACATGCACCACTCAGCCGAACCCACAAGCAGCCACAAAAGATGCGACATACCAGAGCCACACCATATTGGGCATACCACATTAACAAACAACAACAAGGCACCCATCTGTACCCACACTAACGTCACCAAACCCCAAGTCACAACACAGTGCAGAGACTAACTAGCCCGTATAGGCAACCGACCCACGAGGGGCATATTTACCTTCTAGTGACAAATGTTAAAACACCAGTTAACAACATCTCATAATGTACATATGTAAGTGACTAACATTTCAAACATCAGAGGCAATAACTGCATGCATAAATGTATAATCTTGCACTTGAAAAATAAAGAATTAAAAAAAACAAAGTAACACAAAAATGCACCAAACAATAGTGCAATAGGTATGCAATATGGTATGATACCATATGATAGTCAACATCAGTGTTTGTGCACACATGCCTGGCTCTAGATGTATACTCTAGCACCTCAAAGGGTGGTAATTTCCCCCTTTTATTGTTACATAGTTACATAGTTACATAGCTGAAAAGAGACTTGCGTCCATCAAGTTCAGCCTACCTCACATTTGTTTTTTGCTGTTGATCCAAAAGAAGGCAAAAAAACCCAGTTTGAAGCACAATTTTGCAACAAGCTTAGGAAAAAAATTCCTTCTTGACCCCAGAATGGCAGTCAGATTTATCCTTGGATCAGCAGTTATTACCCTACATTGAAAGATTATATCCTTGAATATTCTGTTCTTGCAAGTATGCATCTAGTAGCCGTTTGAACATCTGTATGGACTCTGATAAAACCACTTCCTCAGGCAAAGAATTCCACATCCTGATTGTTCTTACAGTAAAAAAACCTTTCCTTTGCCTTAGACGAAATCTTCTTTCTTCCAGTCTAAACTCATGTCCTCGTGTCCTATGTAAAGTCCGGTTTGTGAATAGATTTCCACACAATGGTTTGTATTGGCCCCGAATATATTTGTATAATGTTATCATATCCCCTCTCAGGCGACGTTTTTCTAAACTAAATAGGTTTAAATTTGTTAACCTTTCTTCATAGCCGATATGTTCCATTCCTTTTATTAATTTTGTAGCCCGCCTCTGCACTTTTTCTAGTGCCATAATATCCTTCTTTAGAACAGGTGCCCAAAATTGCACAGCATATTCAATATGGGGTCTTACCAGTGATTTATAAAGAGGCAAAATTATATTCTTGTCCCGAGAATGAATGCCCTTTTTCATGCATGACAATACCTTAATGGCCTTGGCCACTGCTGATTGACATTGCACATTGTTGCATAGTTTGTTGTCTATAACAATTCCCAAGTCCTTTTCATGTGTTGTTATCCCTAATTCGCTTCCATTAAGGGTATACGTAATTGTTGTTCCATATATTTATTTGTTAAGATCTCTCCCATAAAAAAGCCAAAAGAAAAATGTAAAAACGAGCATACTGGGGTGTAGCTAGTTTAATTTTATATAGTTAGCTGTGCTGCCAACTCACATTACTAATTGTACCCAATAGTTTAAGACTATAAAAAAGTCTAGTCTATTTTTATTAATTGCAGTCAGTATTAGATTGCTACATTTACATGCCAGTACATGGGAATTTTCAACATAGACAAACTACGAAAAGCTTGAACGATGAACATCCAGGACTTAAAGCCAATGTTTCGGGGCCTGCAGCAAGACAATCACAGTTATAGTGTATCAGTCACGTCCGCAGGCTCCTCTTGAGCACTTTGTATGATATGCATTTGCCATACTTCATGTTTATACTACTGAATGCTGCGGGGCATTATTTTCCCATGTTAGGCTGCCGTGTGTTTATTTAAAGATCCCGGCCAGGGCTCTATCCCTGGTGTATGGGTTTATTAATTTGGCAGTCATAAACAGCAGACGTTTCTACAGCAATGCTATACAAGAGAGCTAAAGTGGGTAAGAGCAACAGCAACATCAATTATTACTAAAATTTTAGCTGAAAACACTTGAGTACTACCAATATTAAACAGTAAAAACAAACAAATGGCATTATGGTAATCAAGGTATATCACAGCACTAGTCATTTTTATGTAGAGACCAGTCTAGTTGCCCGTACATACATTCAAGAATGCTTTTTAATGAGACTTTACTTAAACACTTTTACTACCAATAAGGAATGAACTGCACACAACACGAACATCGTTAAAGAGGCAAGGGGAATAATATTACTCTTTATTCATTTTATAACCAATTTCTCCGATTTGCTGTAGAAATTCAAGTGAGGATCAAACAGATAAGCCCATGCAAATCGTGAGACTCAATAACATTAAGAGCGTTTAACGTCTTTTTATTCATAGGAAAACCGTGTGCTTACATTAATAGAGAAGCAATGGGACTCCTGGCTTGCACAGCAGATGGCAGATAATAATGCTGTGCATTTTGAATCACTATCACCATGCTAAGTGCTTCTTTAAATGGCGGAGTTAAGCAGATGATTTAATGCACAGCATTTTCAGTATTTAATAACAGTCATTGCTTTTTTCATTCCACTGTAGGGTAATTGGATCCTGGTTCCAGCACTGAAAAAAGAAAACTATGGCAGGGGGTATTTGAAGGATATAATTAGGTGGAGAAAAAAAAATGAATCAAATTCAAATAAACGACATAACGAGTATTCAGAATGTTTATTATATTCATCTGACATTTTGCTTGTCTTCTCATTATGAATAAATTGAACCTGCCATAATTTAATAAAGTTCCGATCATGTCAATGTTTTCTATAGGGGAGAACAAATTGGGAGAAAGTCAGTAAGTGAATCATATGATTTGGAACTATGGGAAATGGATCTGAATAAACAGGAAACACAATGTGAATATCAGGGATCTTCACTGAACCGGGAATGAGCAGGACTTGACCAAGAAATTAAGCATTTTAGGCCACAATCTCCAAAGAGCAAATATCATTTAAGTTGGCAATTTTTTACAGTTTATATGAGATGTTTGCTTAAAATGTTCAGTCCCCTGGTCAACTCTCAGCAATTCACAGTTTAGTAAGTCACCCAGTGTGAGTTTAGATTCACGTTAAAAATCTTGAATATAAATCTTTATTGCACAACCAAAATGAAGAATTAAAAAAAAGAATAATTCTTGAATATAAAAAGTCAGCTTAAAAACACCTCCATTATCTAAAGTGACATTGTAATCAAGTTTTTTTGTGAGATAACTGCATCATTACACAGCTTCAAAAACACAGATGGAAAGGATGCTGATACACAATTCTGTAATATTATAGGGTACTGGTTGTGCCTGATTGAGGATTATGGGAGTTTAATCTTTTCCCACCCTAACACTACCACAACCATAAAACCCAAAACCCCAGAAAATTAAAGGGTCACTATGGACACGTAAAAAAGTTAAGGGGTCACTATAGACGCCTAAAAAAAACAAAAAACTATTTTATAGATGTATTCTCAATGAAAACATGCATTCATTGCATTCAAGTGCAATTAATTATGCATTTTTTTCATTAGGTGTATATCTAAGATCAGTTTGCAAAACCCTTATATCTCTTGCCTGAAGTCTTCGCAAGCCCTCCCTTTCTAACCCAGCCCAGACTTTCTGTGGCTGTCCAATCACACACTTCCAATGCAGCTCAAAGATAAATATTTGCAAGGCAGGTGCTCTTTGCAATTGCTGTCTCTCGAGTTGAGCTCCACTGAGCTAACCAAACCAGGAAGTAACAGGAACAGTTGTTTGATTGACAGCCAAGAGGATATAACATGGATAATTTATAAAAGTGCCTATTTTAGAAATATGTGCTTTTTCCAAAATGAAGAAAAAAAGAGGATACCATCTTCACACATAAAGCTCTACAGTAAGCTAAAATGCTATAGAGTTCCTGAGTGTCCCTTTACCTCTATATCGCAAAAAAACTAAATAAGAAAAGCATGAGCCATGTTGATGTTTTTTGATTTCGAGTTCTGTCTTTGGCGTCAAAAATAAGCTGTTTAGTGAAAAATAAAGTTAATTGATGGTTTGGGGACAGCCAAAAAATGTTGATTTTATTCACAGATCAAGTGTGATCAATAAAGGAGAAAAAAAAGGAGCAGTAAAAAACGCTATATTTATGTATTATACATTTAATAAATATATAATTGTGTAGATTTTTTTATACAGCACTTTATTTTTTTTGGTTTCTTTTTCTCACTTGATCCGTGAAACAAATGGCACGGTAATGCACCTATCAGTTTATATTATGTATATATTTTGCAATACACTAATTTGCAGATTTTCGCACTATTTGTTCCACAGATCAAACCAAAAACTCCACTTAGACAAAACCTGATTAGTGCCCACACCCAGTTATTGTTTTTCAGATGATTAATTATTTGTCATGCACGTCCACTGTATATTGCTATACATGTCCTGTTTA